TTATATTTATTTCTCTCTTTCTCTCAGTTTTTTAAACACAGGTCTGATGTAACTCAGGCTGGCCTCAAGTTTCCTATGTAACCAGAACTCTTGAACCTTCTGCCTCCACCTCCATCTCCCAGTTGCTGGGATTATGGGTATGATGCATCACCATGTTTGTTTATGCAGTGCTGATGAATCAAGCCTAGGGATTTGTGCAGGCTAGGCAAGCACTCTACCAACTGAGCTACAGCCTCAGGCCCAAGGTTGTGTTTTTTGTCCCCAGGCCCTGTTGCTCGAGCAGGTGCTTGGGAAGCTAGGCAGCCTGGGTCTGACTAAACGTTTTCTGTTGCTATGGGTGCCAAGGGCCCCAGATGCCCAAGTAGACCTTCAGTCCACAAGAGGAGGAAGCAGAGACCAGGCCTGGTAGGAGACTGCTGTGCCCAGTAGAGGCCCCAGACCTAGATACCTTGCCACCCTTTGGTCTTCTGCCTCTTGCCTGTCACATTCTGTGCTGCCTCTGTTGTCACTGGGTCCCTTTGCTGTGGACTGTCCCAATGGCCAAGGGCTGGAATGAAGTTCTTTCTTACCTTCTCGAATCTATACTCGCCAGACCAAACTCCATGAAGGACTTGGCGATAAATGAGCTCAGTGCTCACAGAGTCTTCCTGGGAGTTGTGCCAGGGGGTAAAGAACTCCTTCCGGAAGTAGATGCGCCAAGGGGACTGACGCTGGCTTTCTCCCCTTTCTTGGGCCAGCTGCTCACACTGGGCCACAGCATCCATCACATGGTCACGGCTGCTGCCCAGGGTCCAGAACTGAGGCCAGAATTGGGGGGTAGAAGAAGTTAGTAGCTGCTGTGTGCCACACCCCATGGGAACATCCAGCCTTAGCACCCAGATGTGGAGGACAGGAACTGGGAAGCCTTGCATGGGCCAAGTGGCTATAGTTGCATCTACTTGAATACCCAAAGGGCTTCTTTATTTCTCTTTTTTTGTGTGCATGTGTGTGTATGACTGTATATACATGTGTATGTGCTTGTGGAGGTTGATGTCAGGTGTCTTTCTCAATTCATCTCCATCTTAGTTTTTGAGCTAAGTCCTCTTAATGAACCCAAAGCTCACCAGTTCAGCTAGACTGCTGGCCAGTGGGCCCCAGGGATCTTCCTGTCCCTGTTCTTGCAATGCTGGGCTTCATGTGCATGCCACTGTACCCAGATTTTTTTATGGGTTTTTGGGGAATTTAACTCAGACCTTCATGTATTCTTAACCAACTGAACTGTCTCCACAGCCACCAAAGACTTCTCTATAGTGGACATGGTCTGTCCATCACCCTCAAAAATACCTTGCAAAGAAGGTGGGGATCAAATCGATGGGCAAGTGCATTACTGAATTTGGGGGTGAAGACTCCTGGTGGGTGGTGATGGGGTCAAGTGGGCTGTGACAGTATGACCACTAGTGTCTGTTGCAGTGGCACAAAAGAGGCTAGAGCAGGATGCCAGTGTGAGTGCCTGTATGACAAGGTGTACCTGGCTCTGACTGGAGAAAGGTTCAGCTGCTGGCCTGTGAATATGTAGGCAGGAGGACAGGATGCCCGTTGTGAAGCATTTCTCATATGTGTATGCATGTGCATTTGTGTGAATGTGTATACATGTTTATGCATGTACATGTCTACGAGAATGTGTGCCTGGTGGCAAAGAGGTCATGGAGGGCAGATTAACGAAATACCATTCTTCCAGCTTCAGGATACTCTGCCCAGATGTGCATGGGAAGCATGTCGCAGGTGTTACACCTGTTTGGTACCTTGTCATACACAGCAACCTGGAGGGAAAAGCCCAGGTGGTCAGTGAGGCCCTGCTTCTGGGCGATGTGCAGGCAGATTTCCTGTGATGTGGAGGCTGAGTCCACAGTGATGGTCAGGCTCTCTCCAGTTGCCATGATGACCTGGATTGGGATGTGTTTCTTGGACTTAACAGCCTAGAAAGAGAGAGGGAGAGAGAAAAGTGTGACTCAGAATCCTCCAGCCCTATGTCTCCTGTACTCAGCCCTATGTCTCCTGTACTCTGGGTTCTAGAACCATGACTCTAGAGCCTTCCCCATCCTTGAGGTTGCTTGTCACTGTGGTTCATGAGGGTGAGGCCCTCAGAAGCTTCAGGGTCTGGCTGTGGGTCAGCATGGCATCCCCTGGCCCAACAGGGTCAAAAGCAGTGTTGTTTATACATGGTGGGTGATTTGTGGGCTTCTCTGAGGTGTCATCTGCAGCCCGGAGGTGCAGTCTGCAGGTCATAATGAGGCCACTCTCAGATGAAACCCAGAGGCGCTGAGGTTAAGTGACTCACAAGCAGTCTGAATTGTTGGATGCCATGAACAACACTCTGGGAATGACTCTTCTGGGAATGCCTTCTGCTACAAATGGGAATCTTACCTAACCTTGTAACCAAAGTTATGTTATGTTTTGAGATCATCTAACAGTATCTCAGGCTTGTTTACAAAGTAAATAAGCTTACTAGGCAGGGTCATCCACATATATCTTTAATTCCTCATGACTTTTCCCTGCCTTGACCCAGAATAATATGTGTATGTATGTTGAAAATATCATTGTAGAAAGCAGTAACTTTGAAAGCAATGAATTATCCCCAGCTTGTGTTGTAAACAACAGGTGGGATTAGACTGATAACACCTATTTGTGGTTGTGTGTGCTGTTCTAGGACAGTAGGTATCAGAAAGAGAAAATCCTCTAATAAGACAATGCTCCTCTTTCCTTTTTTCATACCACGCTGAATGTATTGTTTCAATAAATAGAAAGTCCTTTGTTCAAGAGAACAGTTCTGAGAGAACTAAGAGGGAAGAAGTTCTCAGAAAAGATCAGGCTCACTCTTGGTTTTAAATGACTCCAAGAGTTAGGTTGTCTTTGTTCAGGCACTGTCTGTCACATTCAACATGGTGTGGATATTCACAGCTTCAAGTTCACCCCTGGTTCAGGGCTCATAGGAAGCCCTGTGGACTCAGGAGCTGAGATGAGGCCAGGATGGAAGTGTGGCCGGAGGTGAACTGCTGCCTCTGTATGCAGCAGTACAAGACCCTGATATGAGCACTTTCTAGGTTTAGGCTGCACTAGGATGCTCCCTCTGTCCAGAATGCCCCTGCCTGTTCAGAATGGCCCTTTCCAAGGGCAGCTTGAGAACTCACAGGTATAATGAAATGAAGAATTTAGAGATAGTGCCAGCTCCCAATAAACAGCCACGCTGCAAAAGGGTGACAGACTTGCAGGAACACTGCCTTCTTGAGGTTTGAAAAAATAAATTCATTCTCTAACTCATGAACACGGCAACTATATTTCTTCAAGTAGGCAGGAATCAGGAATGTGGATTGAGAGGTGGGGAGGGTGAGTTTGAACCCCATACCATGCTAAGTCCCAGGGGCTATAGGCACAGAAGGTGCCACAAAGGGGCCAGCGAGACAGCTAAGCAGGTGAAGGCATTTTTCATCAAGTGTGAACCTGAATTTGATCCTGATAGAAGGAGAGAACTAACTCCAGCAAGTTGTCCTCTGGCCTCCACATGCAAACCATGGTACACACACACACACACACACACACACACACACACACACGCACAAATAACTAAATAACTAAATATTAAAAAAAGAGAAGATGCCAGGCTGGAGAGATGGCTCAGCGGTTAAGAACACTGGTCGTTCTTGCAGAAGACCTGGGTTTGAATCCCAGCACCCACATGGTAGTTAACAACTGTCTGTAACTCCAGTTCCAGGGGATCTGACAGCCTCTTTTGTCCTCCACAGGCATTGCATGACAAGGGTGTACTTATCTACACGCAGGCAATACACAGATACACATAAAATAAAAATAATAAAGTATTTTTTTAAAAAAGAGAAGATGCCATAGAGAAGTGCCCTACCCTACGCTGCCTATCTCTCACTCCTGCCAGCACCTACCTGAAGCTCCAGCCAGGTAGGGGGCTCTGTGCGTACCCCATTGGCAAAGGTGCGTTGCAGGCGTTCAGTACAGAAGGGCCCATAGCTGGGTGGCCCTCGACAAATGAAGTTCAGCAGATACTGGTGGTAAGGAAAGGGTAAGGAGAGGAAGTATTTAGAATGGAAGCTAGTTCTATTTTCTCCCCAAACCAATTTTAAAACTCCTCATTGTGGCAGGTGTAGCTCAGCTGGTAGAGTGCTGGGTTCTATTCACACCAAGACAAACCTTATCTGTCCATCAACAAGTCTGACACTCTGTGGAACAGTTAGGCCTGATCCTCCTGCCTCCACCTCCTGAGGCCTGATACAGGCATACATTACCATGCATTACCATACATTACCATTTTATGCAATGCTTGGGATTAAATTCAGGGCCTTTGTGCATGCCTGGCAAGCACTCTACCAATTAGCCACATCCCTAGACCTTCCCTGATTTAGTCTTGAAGAACATTCTTGTGCCTGGGACCAAAGGCCTGGGTAGGGGCTTGAAGGAACCAGGTGAAGCATCCTCTTATACAGATGGGGAAACAGACCCAGAGATGCAGAGATGTGTAGGTATTGCTACCCATTAGCTATGACTTATATACTTGATCTAGGGTCTAAGACTCTGATCTAACCCCTACTGTAACCTGCTCCTTGTCTCCCCCATACAGTCCTGCCCTAGCCCAGCCCTCCCCACCTTCATAAACCTCTCCGAGGGAGGGAAGCAGCCCAGGCAGAGGCTGAGCAGGATCCAGCCCCGAGCCAGGCTGCTCATTTTGAAGTTCTCCGAGAGCTGCTTGCAGATCTGGCAGTAAATTTCATCCCTGAAAGATACAGATGATAGGATCTAGAGGAGGAAAGCAATGGGGCTGCCAAGGCACAGAGCCCTTCTGCATCCTGGGGTGGGAATCTCATTCATAGGGCACCCTTCCAGAGTTCAGATCCTCCTAAGCCTCCTAATAGCCTAGGACTGTACCCACCACCTGATGTTTTCTCAGGACTCTGGGACTCTTTCTTTCCACCTTGACTTCCTAGTTTATCAAGGCGCTTCCATGTATCCCCTTCCCTTTGGTTTTTACTCCCCCAACTCATCCCCCTAGCCCTTGCTGCTGTCCTTGGTCTTCTCTCCCTGGCTCACGTGTAATCTGAGTTGCTCCTTTCCTCAACCTCACAGTTACTTCAAATGACTTGTACCCCCTCTGCATTGAGGTCTTGACTCATTCCCTGGAGATAACCAGCCCCTCCAGCAAGAGAGAAAAGAGAGAATGTGCTGACTACTTTTTCTTGGCAATTTGTTGGATTAAGAAATGCTTAGGGGGGCTGAAGAGATGGCTAAGCAGTTAAGAACACTGGTTGTTCTTGCAGAAGACCTGGGTTTGAATCCCAGCACCCACATGACAGCTAACAACTGTCAGTAATTCCAGTCCCAGGGAATCCGACAGCCTCTTCTGACCTCCGTAGGCATTGCATGACACGGGTGCACTTATCTATATGCAGGCAATACAGGCATACACATAAAATAAAAATAATAAATAAAATTTAAGAAAAAGAAATGCTTAGGAGAGCCAGGAGCGGTGGCAGATCTCTGTGAGTTTGAGGCCAGTCTGGTCTACATAGTGAGTTCCAGGACAGCTGGAGCTACAGGGAGACCCTAACTCCAAAAGGCCAATAAATAAATAAATAAATAAATAAATAAATAAATAAATAAATAAATAGAAAGAAATTTCTAGGAGAGTGGAGCATGGTGGACAGACCTGTAACTCCAGCACTTAGTGGTAGAGATAAGAATATCAGCAATTCAAGCTCATCCTTGGCTACATGCTGAGTTTGAGGCCAGCTTGGGCTACCTGAGACCCTGCCTCAGAAACATTAAAATAAAACCAAATTAAATGAAAACAAACAATGCTGAGACCCAGCCTGCATGCCCAGGCCAGGGAGTAGGAGAGGAACTAATGCCTGGGGGTAGGTGAGAGGGCTGAGGCCATGGGCTGAGCAAAGGTGAGGAGACCCAATATTCTGAACGGCATGGGGTGGGGTGTATGTGAGGGTGGTAGTGAGGTCTGACCTGAGGCTGGGTCGCAGAATGGCGTAACCCACGATGAAATGCACCTTCTCCAGGTTAGACATGGGTCTATCTGAGGTATCAAGTATCTCCTCACCGACATTCAGCTGGTTGGCCACCTGGAAGCCCATAGACAGCTGTTAGCACAACTATGACTTTTCCCATTTGCCAAGGAAGAATCAGACACATGGGGATGGAAGCAAAGGCCTGGGACCCTGCAGTAGGCTGGCACTGAGCCAAGACAGACTCAAATCTCCTGGTTGGGCTCACCTGGCTGGTGATCCTCGAGGACCGCTTCAGCTTCATGGAGGAGATGTCCTTGGACCCTCTGTCCCTGCGGCTAAGTCTCTGAGGAAGGCAGACAAGGGACCAAAGAAAATGTGAGTCCTTCATGTAGCTGACCTTATAGCCACCAGGAATGGAACATGTACTCTTGTCCCTTGGCATTTCTTGACTCAATTTACAAAAGATGGAGCTGAGCACAGGTGGTGTGTGTTTAGGGGGTGGGCAGTGCCAGTATCTTCTCATGATGGCATCATAAGAATTTGCTGACCAAATTAAAGGTTAGTGTGGGACTTGGCTTGGGTTGGGATCAATCCAGGGTCAGGCATCAACTCTGGCTGGGTAAAGCTGGTTTGGGGTATAGGGACCAAGTGTGAAACACTGATTGAGAGTACAAGCAGGACTTGCTTAGCCCACTTAACAAACATGCACAAAGGAAAATTGAGCGCCGACCTCTGGAAACCAGTCTTGTATTCTTATGTCCACCCTCCAGAGGTGTGGAGTAGCTGGCTTGACTGCCTCCCAGTCTTCCTATCAGGGAGGTCATCAACCTCCAATGTGATCTCCAGTGAGCTCCACCTCCTGACACTTCTGCCCTGGGCATCCCCCTGCCTCACGAAGAGTATGACTTCCAAATCTGCTTCTTCCATCTTGGGTCACCCAATGAGAGGGAAGCCATGTTGTAAGAATGTTCTGGTACCTCCAATCAGGGACCCATGTGGTCAGGACTGACACACCAGTCCATTATCTTGGGGGTAGACACAAGTCAAACCTTCCGATGACTCCAAAGTTGACAATTTGGCAGCAATTCCATGAGAAACTGAATCAGGACCAACCAAGCCACTCCCAACTCTTAGAAATAACCAGTATTCCCTGTTTTAAGCTGTTGTGCTGTCCTAGTTTGTTCTTCATTGCTGTGACAAAATACTCTGCCCATTACCAACTTGGGGAGGAAAGGGTTTATTTAGCTTACATATCCTGGGTCACAGTTAATCTGGGAGCGCAAGGCCAGGAACCTGGAGGCAGGAGCTGGAGCACAGGCCATGGAGGAATGCTGCTTACTGGCTTGCTCTCCTGGCCCCTGCTCAGCCTTCTTTCTTATGCAACACAGGCCTACCTGCCCAGGGGTGGCACCACCCACAGTGGGCTGGGCCCTCCCACATCACTCAACAATCAAGAAAGTGCCCCATGGACATGGCCACAGGCCAGTCCAATAAAGGCAATTCCCCAACTGAGGCTCCCTCGACCCAGGTGTGTCAAGTTGACACTAAAGCTATCTAGCACATGTGCTTTGAGGTGACTTTTAACAAAGTAATCGTTACTTAATGCATTCTGATGGAGGTTATGCTGCTAGAGATCAGGAAGTTAGGGTCTACATGGGTCTGTGTTGACTATGTAACCAAGGCAGCAGAGTCCTTTAATCTCCTCTGTAGTTAGTCAGCACATGGGATCCCACAGGTATCCATGATGACAGTCACCTAGTGTATGGGACACTCTTGAGATTTTACAGTTGGTAGATGTGGTGGTTTGAATGAGAATGTCCCCTGTAGGTTCCAAGTATTTGGACACTTGGTTCCCAGTTTGTGACTGCTTGGGGACAGTCATGGAACCTTTAGGAGATGTGGTCATGCTGAAGGAAGCATATCACTGGGGTGATCTTTGCCCACTTCCAGTTTCTCTTTTTGCTTCCTGTGCCTGCTTGAAGATGTGAGCGCTCAGCTTTATGCCCCAGGCCCTCCTCCCACCATGCCTCTCCCACCATTATGAACTCTCCCTTCATTATGAACTCTCCCTCTGGAACTGTAAACCAAATAAACTCTTCCTTTTATAAGTGTTCTTAGTTAGTTCACTGCATGAAAGTGGGCCTTGGGGAGGCCTCTGATCAAAAAGCACTGTCAATTTTTTGAAAAAAATGTGTATGAATGCATGTATGTGTGTATTGGTATTTGTGTACAGGCACATGTGTTTGAGATAGGATCCCTCATTGAACCTGGAGCTCACTCATTTGGTTAGACTGGCTGACCACCAAGCCCCAGGGATCCTCCTGTCCCCTCACCACTCTGTTTTAAGATTATAGACACATGCTACTGTGCTCAGCTTTTTGTATGAATGCTGAACTCAGGTTGCCATGCTTTTGATGCAAGCATTTTATTAACTGAACCATCTGTCCAGCCCCAAGTGCTCTGAATTAACCTTATATCAGAGGGCAAGTTAGAACATGGATCCAGAACTTGTTCTCTAGACTGGAGGTGCAACTTAGTGGTAGAGTACTTGCCTAGAATGCACAAGGCCCTGAGTTCAACCCCTAGCACAGAAAAGAATAAAAAAAGAAGCTTCATTTCTAAATTCAGTATGTTTAAAGGCAGCTCCACACACATGCTCACTGTGATTTGGGGTAAGGCACTTTACTTCCCTGTTTTATTAGCTTTAGACAAACATGATAATGGATACCTTGTAGGGCTGGCACACCTGGGAATTAAATGAAAGGAAACAACTGGTATATAGTGGGCTATCATTCAATAAGAGAGAGAGAGAGAGAGAGAGAGAGAGAGAGAGAGAGAGAGAGAGAGAGTATGCAGGCACATGTATACCTCAGTGCACGCGTGGACATCAGTGGACAACTTCGGGTGTCAGTCTTAACTTTCCACCTTGTTGGATACAGGGTCTCATTGCTGCTGCACATACCAGATTAGCTATGAGCTTCTGGGAAATCTTTTCTCCTCCTCCTCTTCTGCCTCCTCTTCCTCCTCCTCCTTCTCTTCATTCTCCTCCTCTTCCTCCTCCTCCTCTTCATCCTCCTTCTCCTCCTCTTCCTCCTCCTCCTCTTCATCCTCCTTCTCCTCCTCTTCATCCTCCTCCTCCTCTTCATCCTCCTTCTCTTCCTCCTCTTCCTTCTCCTCCTCCTCTTCATCCTCCTCCTCTTCATCTTCCTCTTCCTCCTCCTCTTTCTCCTCCTCTTCTTCTTCCTTTTCCTCCTTTTCCTTTTTCTTTTTGTCACAGCTGGCCTGGAACTTGCTTTGTAGACCAGGCTAGCCTTGATCTCACAGATATCCATCTGCCTCTGCCTCCCCAGTGCTGGGATTAAAGGCATGCGCCACCACACCCAGCACTGGGAATTCTTTTGACTGCCTCCCATTTCCTGAGAAATGGGAAGATGAGGGCTGACGGGCACTCATCCAACTTTACATGGGTTCAGGGAATTTGAACTCAGATTCTCAAGCTTTTATGGCAAATGTTTTAACACACTGAGTCATTTCCCCAGCCCCATTTGTCCCCCTACACCCCTGCCCCACTTCCAACTCACTATGTAGTCAAAGATGACCTTGAACTCCTGATCCTCCTACTTCTACCTCTTGAGGGCTGGACTTAAAGGTGTGCCCCACCATACCTGGGTTATGTATTGCTGGGGATCAAACCCAGGGCTTTGTGCATACTAGGCAAGCACTCTGATACCTGAGCTATATTCCCAGCCTTAGCATCTGTTATTTTTATGTGCATTTGAATTTGGTTCAAGTCAAAGCCAATATTAAGAGTCCAGGGGACTGTTTTCATTCATGATTGAAAAATTCCAGCAATCCTGGGTGCCATTCTTGACTGATGAGTTACCTAGTGCAATTAAGACTTGGGGGCTTGGTGAATAATGCTGACAGAAGGCTGAAGGTCTGTCTCCCATTCTCTCCAGTTTCCTGAATCCTTACCTGGTGGACACTAGCCTGCCACCCTCACCACATACCTGTGTGGGTCCATTGTGCTGTGAACCCTTGATGCTGTCCTTGTCCAGTCTGTCATGGATCTGCCGCATCACTGAGCTGCCACTTAGGCTGTTCCTGGCATAGAACACTGGCTCCGGAAGGTCACCCATGAATCTCAGGATGATGGTCCAAACAGCTAGGGCAACCTGGAGAATGAGATAGAGGGCCTGGCTGATCTCAGCATTGGGGCTCTTGGTGACCCTGGTCCCTTGCTTGTTTTCTCTGAACCACAACTCAGACTCTGGGTTCTGGGGTGGGGAAGTGGGACTGGGTCATGCAGAAACCAGAGAACAGCAGGGTACCGAGTGGTCAGTGTCATTCTCATGGTAGAGCAGTGGATATTGGAGGGGTTTCCGGATGTGGGTATGGCTGGCTGATTTCTGGAAGTAAGTTGCAGCAAACTTGGGGAAAGTGTACTCAGACAGGCCGTCCACATCCTCCTCTGGTATCTCCATCATGGGCACTGTGTCTAGATCAATCTCAGGCAGTTTCTGGGTCTTTACTTCCAGATCCTGCGGGTGAGAAAGTCAGACAGAGAGGGAGGACATGGGTCCTTTTAGATAAGAGCCAAATGTTCAGTCAGCTGTCCTGTGGGGTGCACTCACTGGGCCCAGTGAGCCTGAGCAGGTTCCTCCCACCCCTGTCTGATTTGTCTTACCTCAAAGCGCATTGGGGCTGGGCCCTCCTGGCCTCCAATCATGTCTGGGAGGAAGCCGAATACTTTCTCCACCATCTCCGTATCAGTAATGGTGTCATAGATGGACTTGCGCTTCCTTTCAAGGGCAGCACTTTGGCCTTTCTGCTCTTTTGCCAGGATGACCGGAGGTCCCTGTATACACTCCATGGGGCCATGGGGAGAAGGTCACTCTCAGCAGGACTGGCCTCCAGAGTGCAACTTTGCCTACCGTCCAAGGGCAAAGCCTCCAGAAGACTAGTAACCCTCATCCTACCATCATTTGTCCAAATCAACATATTTTCCCCTAAATAATAATTTTGTGTATGTTCACATCTATGTACATGTATGTGGAGGGTGATGTCAAGAGTCTTCCTCATTGGCTTTCCATTTTTTTGAGACATATTCTCTCATTGAACCTAGACTCACTAATTTGGCTAGACTGCCTGGTCCTTGAGCACCAGGGAGCCTCCTGTCTCTGCCTCCTCAGTACTGGGGTTGCAAGCATATGGTGCTGTGTTTGGATTTTTACATGCATGCTGGGAATCTGAACTCAGTTCCTAGTGCTTTCTCAGCAGGTACTTTACCAACTGAGTCATGCCCTCAGCTCAATAATAAATTTTAACAGCTAGAGTGAGTAGAGGTCAACCAGCCAGGGCTTTTCCTTTCCCAGGATGATCAGAGAGGAGAGGTGAGGTTGCTGGCTTGACTCCTGAGGCACCCCACAAACTGCAGGGACCCAGACCACAGCTGCCAACTCATTACTCAGGCCATCATAGCTCCTTCATTCTTAGGTTATTACAGGCCTACACTACTACTAATGAGGTGACCCAAGTGTTTTGCAGGCAGGCTGGGTTCCCTCAGGAACAGAAGCATGTGGAGTCTGAGGATCTGTTCTCTCACATGTCTTGCTTGTTGTACTGGTAGTTATGCAGTAGAGCCCATTGTCATCTGTGGAGCCAAGGTCAATGTTATCCCACCCCCTTCACCTCATCACAGTTTCCGAATGACCCAAGTGAAGAGGGGTGAGGTTGTCCTGAAGGTGGTGAGATTCTGCAAGGGTGAGATTTCAAAATACCCCCCCCGTCTCTCTTTCTCTCTCTCTATGTGCTTAGTACATATGTACATATGTGTGTGGAGGCCAGGCCAGGGGACAATCTTGGGTGGTGTTCTTCGGGAGCTGTCCATATATATTTTTTATTTATTTATTTTATGTGTATGCATGTATAACCTGCATGCATGTAAGTGAGTCCTGTGTCCTGCAAAGTTCTCAGAAGTCAGAAGAGAGCACTGGAACTGGAGTTACAGACGGTTGTTAGCTACCATGTGGGAATTGAATCTGGGTCCCTGAAGAGCAGTCAGTGCTCTTAGCTGTTGATCCATCTCTCCAGCCCCTACACACATATATATTTTTAAGACAGAGTCTCTCACTGACCTAGAGTTCACTCAATAGGTTAGACTAACTGGCCAGTGGGCTTCAAAGATCTGTCCATTTCCACCTTTCCAGTGCTGGGATTACAGGTGCATGCCATAGTGTCTGACTTTTCGTGTGGGTTCTGGGGCTCAAACTCAGGTCCTTGTGTTAGTGAGGTAAAGACTCTACCAGCTGAGCTCTCTTCCCAGCCCCCCAGTGCAACAGTATCTTGATGCTATTCTACTAGTCTCCATCCTCCCAGACTCCCACACCCTCTTTTGTGCTTTGCTGCCTCCTGAACAATCATGCACTGCCTTTAACCAGCACCTCTGGTCTTCTCCATAGAACAAGGCCTCTCATAGCACATCTGGGCCAGATTTCCTGAACCTTCCAGGGGAATGACCATCCCTGCTGTGAAATCATCCCCAAGCCCAATGGCAGGGGATGGAGAAACTCCACTTTCAGGTAAAGTCTGTCCTGCCCATCTGTTCACTGTCTTTGGTTATACCTATAAACTCCCAGGATGTGGCTGAGTCTTCCCAGGTGCATGTTGGATCATCTGAGAAGGGGATCTTTTGTTCTCTCTCTCTCTCTCCTCTCTCTCTCTCTGACTGTCTGCGTCTGTGTATATGTCCATTTGTGTGAGTATGGGAACATATATATGAAGGCTAGAGAAAAACCTCAGGTGTCATTTCTCAGGCACCAATCACCTTGTTTTTTGACACAGGGTCTCTCACTGGCCTGCAGTTCATAGAATATGCCAGGCTGACTGACCATAAAGCTCTAGAATCCACCTGTCTCTGCCTCTCCAGCACTGGCATTACAGCTGTCCTGGAACTCACTATGTAGACCAGGCTGGCCTTGAACTCACAGAGATCTGCCTGCCTCTGCCTCCCAAGTGCTGGGACTACAGGCATGCACCACCATGCCCAGCTGTAATGCCTAGCTTTTTAAAATTAATTTTTCTTTATTTTATGTGTATGAATGTTTTGCCTGCATGTATGTAAGTGCATGTAATGCCCATGAAGATCAGAAGAGGTGTCAGATCCGCTGGAACTGGAATTACTGACGGTTGTTAGCTGTTATGTGGGTGCTGGGAACCAAACCCAGGTCCTTTGCAAGGGCAGCCAGTGTTCTTAACTGTTGAGTCATCTCTCTAGCCCCATGCTTGGCATTTTTATGTGAGTTCTGAGGATCAAAATAAGGTCTTTATGCTTGTAATGAATGATGTTTAGTTTTCATTGTCAACTTGACACAATCTAGAATCACGTGGAAAGGGAGTCTCAATGAGAAATATCTAGATTAGGTTGGATTATGGATTTGTCTGTGTGGGATTGCCTTAATCATGCTAATTGATTAATATGTTATGGAAGACCACCCACCTGTGGGTGGCACCATTCCCTGTGCAGAGGATCCTGGAATATGTGAATGGAAAATGCAAGCTGAACACTGGCATGCATGCATTCATTGCTCTCTGCTCTTGACTGTGGCTGTAACGTGACCAGCTGCTTCAAGTTCCTGCCTCCTTGACTTCCTCACAATGATGGACTGTGGCCTGGAATTCGGAGCTTTATAAACCTTTTCTCCCTTAAGTTGCTTTTGTCAGGTATTTTATCACAATAACAGGAATGAAACAAAGACCTACAGCAGGCACTTTAACCATGGAGCGATCTCCTATTGTCTGTAGCCTTAGAGGCATCTCCTAACTTGCCTCTTGGGTTCTTGTGGTGTTTTTGAGTATCTTGGACAGATTTAAACATCTTTGAGAATGTGGACCTTCTACAGGGGCTTCTCATAAGAGCTTTTCATAGCTGCTTGCCCTATTGGCCCCCTCCACCCCACCTGCCTGCCATGCTGGGTAAACACCTACATTGGGTTTCTGCTGTTGGAAGTTCCGCCGGGCAGCCATTCCTCTGGCATGTGCCTGGATGACCACCACCGCCCTCCTCTTGGCCTGTACTTGTTGGCGCACCAGGTAGCCCCTACAGCGGGCTTGCAGCTGCACCATTTTCTGTCGCATGGTCTGGAACTGTTTCATCAGTAGGTGGCTTAAGGCAATGGCCTGTAGGCGCTGGAAGCCCACCAGGATCTGTGGAAGTAGGAGGGAGGTAGGTTTATTGCAAGAATGCTTTCTCAGACAGTAGAGAGGCATTCCCTGGGAGACCTTCAATGTTAGCTCAGTCACCTGCTTCTTGGTACAGGGCTGGTGCTGCTACCAGACATATGTGGCAATGTACACAGTCCATTAGTCACTTGTGAAATACTTAGAGCAGAGCTTCCCATGCAAACAAGTGCCAAATAAGCACCTGGTAAATAGCAGAGGTGATGGTTTATATTGACTGTCAACTTGACAGGATTTAGAATTACTTTGGAGAAAAATTTCTGGGCATGTCTGTGAGGGAGTTTTAGGAAAAGGTTAATTGAGGTGGATGGACCCACTCTAAATATGGGCAGCAACCTCCCACTGGTTGGGGTTCTAGACTACAAAAAGGGAGTCATATAGCTGAAGACCAGCATTCACTGCTCTCTCCCTTTCGATTGTGGTTGCAACATGACCAGCTGCCTCATGCGCCTTCCCCATTGCAATGGACTGTGTCCCCTCAAACTGTCAGCCAAAACAAACCTTGCCTTCCTTAACTTGCTTTTGTCAGGTATTTTGTTGTAGCAACAAGCAAAGTAACTAATACAAGTAAACAACAAAGTGGCCTCCTAGGCTCATGTTGAGAACTGGAATGGGCTTCACAGCAGCCGGCTAAGGTCACCACACTGTTGACAGAACCTAATGCTCCTGTGTGGAGGCCTGCAGCCTACTCCATCCAGAAATCCCTCAGCCAGTCTTTAAAATAGAAGATTAAGAAATGGTTGGACACCCCATTCTGTACTGGGCCACAGCAGTCGCTGGGTCCCCAGGATGAGCCTATTGCCTCCTCAAGGCCCAAGTCAATGGGCCAGCCTAAAGGTTTAGAAGTCACTCAGACCCATAAATCCAGCTGTACCAGTTACTATGTGTTCCTGGGTAAATCTACTTACACCTTCTATGCCTTCATTCCTTTACTTATAGAGTGAGCTAATTTTAAATAAAGTGATGCAACACAGCACAATAGGCCCCATGTGGATATTCCATACATGTCAACTACCACATGCCCTTTGTGAGCGTGAAATGGTGACGGGACCAGCTGCTGATGCAACCATTTTATGTTGTAGCTGCAGTCACAGTTTTGACAAAGGCACCTGGTGATGTGAGGCCCAAAAAACCTGCAGTAATGGTTGCTCTGCTTCACATGAAGAGCAGACAGTTACTAGCTGGGGCTGTGGTGGGGAGAAAAATGAGGAAGAGGTGCTTGAATCACAAGAATCTACCCATCTGCTTATTCTGTTGCCTCCAAGCTGGGAAAGGACTGTCATTATCTCATTTCAGAGCAGGACACCTCAGTCCAGATCTGGGGATGCCCAAAATTCTGAAGGGGAACATTTCAAAGCCCCCAGACCATGGGGTCCAAGATGGTTCTGGTCATTTAAAATCCATGCTCTTAGCTATTGGTGATGGAACTCTTCCTGCCTGGGATCTCTCATTCAGAGACACAAACTTGAACAGCGTGTCTTCCATGGGGCAGTCATCTGCTGCCCCTGAAGGCCCATCCTCCCAAGTTCTTTCTCTCGTACCAGCTCAAAATTCTTTCTTTGGTGGTGGCCTCGCCACCTGGCCTGGAGGGTGACAGCTGCCTGTCTCTTCCTCAGGAACTCCTTCCTAGAGAGAAAATGCAAAATAGAGGCATTTAAATTTTTATTTATTTATTTTTTTATTTTATGTGTATGCATGTATTGCCTACATGTAGGTAAGTGCACCCGTGTTGTGCAATGCCCACAGAGGTCAGAAGAGACTGTCAGATCCCCTGGGACTGGAGTTATGGACAGTTGTTAACTGCCATGTGGGTGCTGGGATTCAAACCCGGGTCTTCTGCAAGAACAACCAGTGTTCTTAACCACTGAGCCATCTCTCCAGCCCCATGAGGCATTTTTTATTTTAATTTTTTTACATTTGTGAGTGAATATGTGTGGGTGTACATGTCATGCACATTTCTAGAGGTCAGAGGATAGCTAGTGGGAGTTGGTCCCAGGGATCCATCTCAGGTCCTCAGGTTTCATAGCAGTTGCCTCACCACTGAGCCATTTCACCAGCCCAAACCAGAGGTATTTAACAATCTTTCAGAACCTGCAAAATGTTCAGAGCCGAGGGACTGATTTGGAAGGGAATGGGGATAAAAATGTTGGGGAGAAAGAATGTGTACAATACTTGCTCAGAAGCCTGTTATAGTTTGAGTGTGAAATGTCCTCCGTAGGCTCATGTGTTTGAAACACTTGGTCCACGGTTAGTGGCACTGTTTGGAAAGGTTGTGGAACCTTCAGGAGGCAGAGCCTTGGAGGAAGTATGTCACTGGAGGTGGGTTTAGGGTTGATAGCCTGGTTGTATTTCTCTCTCTGCCTCTTGATACAGTACAACGTGAAGTTCCAGCTTTCTGCTCCTGCAGCCACGCTTCCCCCACAATGATGGGCTGTATCCCCTCTGGAGCCGTAAGCTGGAATAAACCTTTCTCTCTCCCCTAAGCTGCTTTTGTTAGGGTATTTTATCACAGCAACAAAAAGTAACTAAGACAAGACAAAAAGATACACGTTCAGGTTAGGAACGCCAGATAGGCTGTTACCTCAAAATTTTGGGCTGGGGATATAGCTCAGCAGTTGAGTATTTGTCTAGTATAAGGACTTGTGCTTGGTCCTTAGTATTGCAAACAACAAACAAAAGCTAAAGCAAAATAAAGACTTCCCAAATTTATGAATGATGATAAACCAGTTTTTAAAAATAATTAGGAAGCCAGGCATGGTGGCACATGCCTTTAATCCTAGCTCTCAGGAGGCAGAGGCAGGTGGATTTCTGTGAGACTGAGGCCAGCCTGGTCTACATAGAGAGTTCCAGGTGAATTATAGGGAGATCCTGTCTCAAAAAAAAAGGGATAGATCTTTTATCATCACTTCACATCTTACCAAGATCTATGAAAGGCTGGAACATATTTCCAGCTTTTAATTTCTTTACATTTTTTCATATGCATGTGTGTGTGTGGTGTGCATGTAATGTGTATATGCCTGTGTGTGTGTGTGTGTGTGTGTTTGTGTGTGTATGCATGTGGAAGCCCAAGGTTGATATCAAGACTCATCCTCAGTTGTGCTTTCACCTTTCCATTCTTTGAGGCAGGGTCTCTCAAACAAACCCAGAGCTCACCTATATGACTATTCTCAATAGCCAGTTATCTCTGGAGATTCCATCTCCACCTTTCAAGGCTGGAATTACAGTCAGGATGCCATACCCACCCAGTATTTACGTGGTGTTCTAGTTAGCTTTAACTGTCAATTTGACACAGCCTAGTTGCCTGAGAAGGGAGCCTCAATTTAGGGATTTCCCAGATCAGATTGACCTGTGGGCACTTCTGTGGGGGTTTGTCTTGATTGTTAATTGAGGGAGAAGGGCCCATCCCACTGCGGGCAGCATCATTCTCTGGGCAGGTAGTCCTGGGCTATATAAGAAAGCTAGCTAAGCATGAGCCTGAGCAAGCCTTCAAGCAGCACCCTCCATGCTGTACTTTCCTGGCTATGAGTTCCTCAGTCAAAGGTAATGCTGTGTGGAAGAGCAAGCAGGCCTGCCTTCAAGTTCCTGCCTTGACTATGACCTGGAATTGCAAGCTAAATAAACCATTTCTTCCCTTAAGTTGCTTTTGGTCATAATATTTTTCACAGCAGCAGAATGAAATTAGGGTGAGCTAGGCTCAAGCAAATCTTTTATTTCACACACAACTGAATTTTCTTACTTCTTTCTTTCTTTCTTTCTTTCTTTCTCTCTCTCTTTCTTTCTTTCTTCTTTCTTTCTTTTTCTCTTTCTTTTTTTATAAAACATAACTCTTTTTTATTTTATTTATTTTATTTTATGTGTATGCATGCAGGTAAGTGCACCCATGTTGTGCAATGCCTGTGGAGGTCAGAAGAGGCTGTCGGATCCTCTGGGACTGGAGTTACAGACAGTTGTTAGCTGCCATGTGGGTGCTGGGATTCGAACCTGGGTCTTCTGCAAGAACAGTCAGTGCTCTTAACTGCTGAGCCATCTCTCTAGCTCCTCCTTACCACTTTTAATGCTTTCTTAGAGGATTGGCTTTCTTAGGTTTAAATAGTATGTCTCAGTTACATTAAAACCATATGAAGAACTACAATATTGATTATGCCTGGTCAGTTTTATCTCTGAGTTCAAGGCCAGCCTGGTCTACATGGGGAGTTCCAGGCCAGCTAAGTCTACAGGGAGAACCTGTAGAGAGAGAGAGAGAGAGAGAAAGAGAGAGAGCACTTTGACTATACATACCTGTGTATTCACAGGCTCTATAGCTACAGATTCAGCTACCACAAACTGAAAAATATTTGGAAAAAATTTCATCTACACTGATCCTGCACAGACCTTTGCTCTTATCATTATTCTTTAAATGGTGCAGTTTCACAGCTATTTTTGTGACACTGGTGTTGCATATTAAGTGTTATAAGTTATCTAGAGATGTTTTAAATTGTAAAGGAAGACATACATAGATATGTGTCAATATGCCATTTAAAAAATTTTTTTAAATTTGAGACAAGGTTTTGCCATGTAGTTGAGATGGACTTTGAACTCCTTCTGCCTCTCAAATACTAGTATTATAAGCATATGCCACCATGCCTGGCAACTGCATTTTATATATAAGCTCACCTGTGGATTTTTTGGTATATTTGAAGGTCTGAAACTAACCTCCCAAGTAGTCTAGTAGGCAGCCTAATTAAACAACTAAATCACCAAAAAAAAAAAAGCTAATTTGTCTCCTTTTTGATGTCTACACTAGTAGTACTTGACTCATGATAACTGCCCTCTAGGCACATTCAGCAAAGTTTAGAGAGATTCTGGTTGTCCTGATAGTGGGGAATGAGTGGGTGGGTGTGAGAGAGAATGCTACTGACATCAGTAAGTAGAGATCAAGGATTCTGCCAAGTATCCTACAATGCACTAGATTGAGCCAGGTGTGGTGGCACATTTTCAATCTCAGCGCTCAAGAGGAAGAGGCAGGCAGATCTCTGTGAGTTCAAGGCCAGCCTGGTCTACATAGTGAGTTCCAGGCCAGCTGGGGTTACAGGGAGATCCTGTCTCAAAAAGATAAAAAATAAATAAATAAGAAACAATGCACTAGACTGTTCCCATGACAAAAGAGTTATTCAGGGGATTGAGGGTGTAGCTCAGTGTAAAGCCCATGCTTAGTATGTGGGAGATCTTGTGATCAGCCCCTAGCACGAAAACTAACTAACTGGGCGGGTGAGATGACTCATCAGGGAAAAGGCTTCCCATGAAGCCTGATGACCTAAGTTCTATCTCCTCCTAAAAGTTGTCCTCTGGCTACTTGCCACAAATACACATACACACACAGTAAATAAATAAACTCAATTTTAAAAATAAAATAAACTAGCTGACTATCTAGTCCAAAGTGTCAATAGTGCTTAGACAGAAAAAAAAATCATGATTTCTAATCTTTTTATTTTCTTGTCCAATTTCATTGGCAAGAACTGCAAAAGCCTGATTAAGGGTCCATGATCATCACTTCCAAGATGGGGTAGACACACTTTCCCCTGCTAAGCACAACTAAAATCCCTGTTGTTGTGCACAAAAATAAACATGAAAAGACTGTGAAAGGCCGAGGGAAGAAAGCAGACGAGGGACAATAGAACCCAAGAAATGATGCAATGATCACTTCTCCAGATTTTCTTTTTTGCCTAATTTTCCCTAGACTAGGAGCTGAAGAAGTCAACAACCCAGAAATGCGAAGGGGCATAGATCAAAAAAGCCTCCAAGGTAAGCCTTCCTTTTCCACCCAAAAGATCAGGAAAGGAGCAGCCTAGCAAGACAGAAAGTTCTGGAATGATAACTGGTGTGCTCTGCTAAGACAACTGCAGCTGCACCTCACTACAACAGAAATTCCCATGTGGGAACTGTGACTTCCACCCTGACCACCTGTGATGAGAGGCCCCCCATCAGGGCAATGATGGGGAAGGCTGGGAAGGAAGCCAAGACATTGACTCCTGATGGGCAGTAATGTGCCTATCCCCAGTGTGTCAGCAGAGGTCACTGGGGGATCCTGGATTCCTATGCTCACCTGGCAGTAATGAGATATCACTCTTCTCTGTGCTGGGACTGTGTTAGAGGAGACCTGGTGGGTAAGTGGCCTTTCACTGCCCAGAGGTAAAAAGATCACCCCTTCTGTGATGGTTAATACTGTCAACTTGACAGGATTAAGAACCACCTAGGAGATAAAGCCCTGGGCCTCTCTTTGAGGGAGTTTCTAGATTGGGTTAATTGAAGTGAGAAGTGGGAAGACTCAAACTGTACAAAAATGAGAAAAGGAGCTGAGCATCAGCATTCAGCTCTCTCTGTTCCTGACTGTGAATCAGTGTGAACAGCTGCCGCGTGCTCCTGCCACCATGCCTTCCCTTCAATGATGGACCGCACCCTCAAACTGTGAGCCCAAATAGACCCTTCCTTCCTTAAGTTACTTTTGTCAGACAGTTTGTCACAGCAACAGAAAAGTAACAAATATATCTTCCTCCATGGTATCAGTGGAGGCCATGTTGGGACAGTAATAAGGTACCCTGTCCTCTCAGCCAGGGCAGCATCAAGGCAGATCTGTCCGGCAGCCAGAATTCCCAGCTCAGCCAGTGGTGACAAGGAAGTTCTCTCCACTTCTAGACTCCATAGAGGCCACGTGTGGAACCTGGACTGACAGCAGACAGGTGGTATCTCCTACCCCCTGGCTAGGTAGTGCCAGAGAGAATGGGATGCCACCTCTGGTAAAAGTGATTTGTTTTTTGTTTTTTGTTTTGTATGTCACCATGGCATGAAATTTTATCACTTTTCATTGTGAAGATGTATTCATCATGTAAAGCAAAAAGGAAGCTGGACTTCATGTTACATGACTATAATTTCTTGGGAGGCCAAGAAAGAAGGATTGCTTAAACCCAGGTACATGAGGCCAGCCTGGGCAACAGAAGGAGGTTTCTATCTCAAAAATAAATGACAGACATGTATAATTCCTTATTTTTTGGTTCTTAGCTTTGTATTAAAAAAAAATAACTTCCCAGACTGTGATTTTTATCTTTAGAATTTCAGTTAAGTGATTTACATTTTCTGCAGGGCACAGGGGCTGTAGAAGAGTTAATAGAAAAATGATGGAAAACCTCTTCGTGTCTGGGAAGGGGAGAGGATTGATATCAAGGCCTGGATGCCCAGACCATGTGTGGAGTCAAGACCACAACTGGCTCTCAGGGGAGATGGGAGGTCCATTCTTGAGAATCAGTCCTCTCAAGACTAGAGTCTGCAAATGACAGAAACCTCCCCTGTTCCCGACATAAGCCAACACAGAGGCAAAGCCACTGCCATGCACAACCTGGGACCTCAGGGGAGGGGATTGTGCAGAATGCAGAGAAGGTTGAAACTGCCGTCCAACATTGGGAAGTCCTCTATCCTCCAATCAAGCAGAAGGCTTAAATAAAACACAAAGTTCTTATAACATGACACCCTAAAATATCTGTTTCAATCTAAAATCACTATGACCAGAAAAATTCAATGAGATAAGGAAAGACAATAAACAAATGGAAATTTTAGCTTTGAAAAAACATCATAACTGAGGCCTCGAAAATAGTTCCTTCAATAAAAGTGCTTGCCTTCCAACCATGGGGATGTGAGTTTGACCCCCAGAACCCATATAAAAAAGAAAAAATGCTGGGTATGGTAGTGTGCGCTTATAATCTTAGTGCTCTTGAGGTGGGGACAGGAGGATCCCTGGAGCTTACTGGACAACCAGCTTAGCTTACTTAGTGAGTTCCAGGCAACTGAGAGACCTGTTTCAAAAAAACCAAGATGGGTGGATTCTGAGGAATGACAGCTGAATTTGTCATCATGACCCATGTGCATGTACACACACACACACACACACACACACACACACACACACAAGCATCAATCAAAAACAAATCATCAGTAGATGGGCTGAGCAACAGAACAGAAAGAGCAGAGGCTGAGTTAGAAAACTTGAAGTCAGAAGGAGAGAAATTTCTCAACTTAAAGGACAGAGGGGAAATGACCTAAAGGAAGTGAGCAGGGGAGCAGGGCCCCAGGGACCAGGGGGGCTGTGACAAGATGGCTAAGATTTGTATTTTCAGAGACATGGAGGGGAAGAATGAAGACATTGCACTAAAAAAGTCGCTGAAGGGCTACAGAGATGACTGTGTGTGTGTGTGTGTGTGTGTGTGTGTGTGTGTGTGTGTGGCTGTGTGTGTATATAATTGAGAACTTGGCATAATGGTACATGCTAGTAATCCTAGCATTCAGAAGACTGCAACAAAAGGATTGAGAGTTTGAGGTCCTGGGCTACACATAGAGACCTCTCAAAAAATAAACATAACTATATAAAATATAAAACATACAGACATATAGTTGAGTGTAAGGCTGACATCTCTTGCTTACAGAGTGGTTTTTTCAATAATTCATTAAAATTCTCCCTAGTCTTATGCCTCAGTTTATCTCCCAGGCTTGCCTAGGGGACATGTACAGTCTAAGTCTGGGCTTAAGTGAGGGTAGGCACCTGTATTTGTATCCCCGAAGGACTCTCTGGATGCGGACTGCTGCTCCATTTAAGGCCTGGCCCCTCTGGATCTCCAGCATTGTATCCTGATGATCCTGTGGGTGGGGTGATGACATCATGTGACTGCCCCTCCCTCACCCTCACTGCCCCTGTTTGACACCAGGTCCTGGTCTCCAAAAGTCAAAGTCTTCCAGATTTCTCCCAGGGGACCAGTGAAGAGGGAAGCCGGATGTGATTTGGAGGAGCTGCAGTTACATCATACCCTGAGCCAAATTAATTTTAACTCCTTCTTCTTGCTAATTCAATATGCCAGTCTTTGTTTCCCAAATTCACACATTAACTCAATGTAAAAATAGTTCCCAAAACTCATGAACAGGATTCATTTGAACCAGCATGAGATCTTGGGTTGTCTTCACCTCTGGTGTGTCTTTTCCCTAGCTTCCGATTCTCCCTAGTTCCCTGAGGCCTGGGATATGAGGCACAGGCCTGCCGTCTTAGTCCTGGGAAGGCAGGGATTATCCTGTTGGACACAGAGCAGGGCAGCACTATGGCTGGTGGGGAGGAGAGGTTGGGAACTCACTTGTTCTTCCTACCTCCCTCTGTCTGGCATCAGGAGGCAGTGAGGCACTTGTGTGCCCTGGGGAGCTCTGGGATACAGATAGGCCAGACCCTAGGCATGAACTTGAGAAGTAAGGGTGGAAAAAGTGGAGGGGGCCCTCTCTTCTCTTCCTTTGATCCTTTTCCCACACCAACCTTACCCTGTGCTGCTGTGGTCTTTGTTGGCTGTCCCACTTTCTTTGGCAGTGTCCTTGGGACATTCCCTCTGTTACCCTGGCCTCCCCACTAAATTAGAAATCTCTCTGCTGCTGCTTTACTGTCTGGGTTCAGATCATGGGATGGACCAGTGCATGGACACAGATGGCTAGAGAAACTGATGGGAGGGCTGGGGCCAAGGGCAGGTGTGGATGGGGTGTGCTCCTGGCTCTGAGCCCTCGTCCCTCCCTCCTTGCTGTTCTCAGGAGGCTAGTGGCCCACTACCAACTCCTCCTTAGGCTCTTACCTTTAGGAAAATTTTGGTCCTTCCCACTTTCCAGTCCTTGTTTGTCCCCAGGCATTTGTCAACAATACACAAGGTCATCTGGCGGAACTTGTCTCGAAGCTACAGAGGAAAACTAGGGCTGGTCAGGGACTCTGGAAAGGACAGGGGACCTCCTCCAGGGCTGCTCCTTATCACAGAGACCTCCTACGAGGAGCTGCCGGCTGCATCAGACAGTTTCTAGCACCCCAGATCAAGGAGTGGGTGAGGGACACACAGGGCTCAGGACTCCCAGGCAAGTTGTTGGGCCTGGAGCCTTCATGTAGCTCTAGGACACTTGGCCTCAGACCAATGTAAACACTAGGATAGCTGTGGGTTGCAGAAAGCTGGGCAGGACTTCCTGCCCTAGAGAGTTCCCTAGCCACATCTCCTAGACACCATCCTGAGGAGAGCAGAGTAAACCCACAGGCAGCTAGAAGGAAATCACATAGCCACCAGCCTCAACCACAAGGCAGTGGGAGCTACTCATCTGGCCTTCACAACACAGAGATTGAGAGAGAGTGGGAGGGCAAAGGGAGGACAGACAGGGAAGTGGAGGCTGGGAGTCCAGGAAGGGTGCTGGGAATCAGGAAAGTGGAGAGAACTCAACAGGAGACACAGGGTTCTATCTGCTGGGCACACACCTCTGTGCGTTCAGGGCCTGGCAGCAGCATGTGAAACCTCTTCGAGAACTCCTCAAATGTGTAACGGATTGGGAAACCTGACTTTCGGATGTGCACAGTCTCCATCATGCCAGAGTAGCGCAGTTGCTGAATGCACAGCTCCCGGTTGAAGAGCTGTGGGTGAAGACAAATGAAGATTCTGCTGAGGAGCTACAGGTTCCGTCCTTGTCTACCACTTCCCATCACTGCTGTCAGAGGGGTTAGCCTGCCTAGGGACTCATCTAGCTGTCCCCGAAAGTTAGGAGGAACTTAACAAATGCTTGATGGAACTATAATGACTTTTGGAGGGCTTTTTTTTTTTTTTTTGAGACAGACAGGGTCTTATGTAGCCCAAGCTGGACCCAAATTTACTTTGTAGTTGAGGATTACCTTGAACTCCTGATTCTCCTGCCTCTACCTCCCAAGTGCTGGGTACAATATCATACCCAGTTTTCAAATGATTTTTTTGAAAACAGTAGTAAAAGTGCCTGAAAGACCATAAAGTGTCTCCAAGGACATAAAAGTCCATAGCATAGAAACTGGGGCCAAGGCTGATTGTGGTGGCCCATACCTATAATCCCAGCACTTGAAAGATAGAGGCAAAAGGACCATGAGGCCTCTAGTCTCCACATGCATGAGCAGACATGTTTACACATATACACACACACACACGCACACACACACACACATACCACAAAAGAAGGAAAAAGAAGCCATTTGCACATGATCTGTTATGAAAACATAATGTCTTTTATTTTTTGAGATAGGGTCTCATTATGTAGCCTAACTGGCCAAGAACTTACTCTGTAGATCAGGCTGACTTCAAATTCACAGAGATCTGCCTGGCTCTGCCTCCTGAGTGCTGGGATTAAAGGTGTGTGTCACCATGCCTGGCAAAATGTAATGTCTTTAAGTGACCTTGCTTACATCAGGTTAGACACTGCCTCTAGCAACCCAGCATCTCAGTGCCTGTTTACCACAGTGGATGGAAAAAACAGTGCTACATATAAGCAGAGACTCTTCAGGTCAGTATGTCTGCTCTTCCTTCAGATGGACATAAGTAGCTGGGTAGAGGGAGCTGAAGCTAGAGAGTGGCCAGCAGAGAGGAATTTGGGCATGATGCTTTTCCCTAGGGTGCTTCCTAACAGCTCCAGGACTCTGGAGAGCACCCTTGACCTGGGGTGCTAAGGGAGGATACCCGCTAACTGGGCAAGTCCATGGGTAAGTGCTATGCTCCCATGTGGGGTCAGTGAAAGCCACAGAGGTTAACCTTGGGTGAATAGTCATGCTACCTGTGAAGCATGTCCCATGGGTCTGTGGTTTCTTATTTAAACTTTACATCAGCCTATATGGGCAGGGTTATTGATTCTGATTAAAGATGAGGTACCTGGGGGGCAGGGTCATACTCTTCACTGGCTGAGCCTGACTGGTCCTCAGCATAGGCCTCCCCTCTACCCTTAGACAGCAGGCAGAGACATGCCCTGACCAGAGACACCACAGAACCTGAGCTGGAGCCTAGAGAAGGCAGCACAGGTGCCTGCAGAAGACTCTGAGGGCAGGGAGACTTGTAGCACGAGGAATAAAAGTTGCCTAACTGCTGCCTGTGGTGGCTGTGAGGAGGATGCATCCTAGCCTTCACCAGACAACCCAACATACACAACTGCATTCTATTCAAAAGGTACCTCATTGAATGTAATACTTCTTTTTTATATATTTTTATTATTTTTAGTGTTCATGTGTGTGTATATGTGTATGTACATACAGGTGTGCATGTGCCATGGTGCATGTGTGGTGGTAAGGGAAATTTGCTGAAGTCAGTTCTCTCCTTCTACAGTGTGGGTCCTGGGGATTGAACTCACATCATCAGGCTTGGAGGTTACCCCAAGTCATCTTGTCAGCAAAAATGTAATATTTTGTTTTGGGTTGGGGATATGGCTCAGTTGATAAAATATTTGCTGTGTAAGTATGAGGACCTGGGTTCTGAGACCCCAGAACTCACATTTAAAAAAATTGTGCCAGTGCCTACAATCCCAATGCTAAGAGGAGAAGACAGGCAGATCCTGAGGCTTGCTGGCCAGCCAGTCTAGCTGAATCTGCAAACGCCAGGTTCAGGGAGATCCTGCCTCAAAAAATAAGGTGAGTGATAGAGGAAAACACTCGATGCTGACTTCTGTTCTCCACATGCACACATACCACACACTTGCACACACACATGCACATGCATGCACGTGTGTGCACACACAGAAATACACACAAATACTTCTTTTTATTCCCTGATGACATGGTTTTTAGTTATGTTTTGTCTTTGAAAATGGCATCTTCTAGTTTTGGGAACCCCTGTGCTTTCAGCTCTGTGGGGGAGGCTTCTGTAGATCAAGGTTTCCCAGGCTTCTACTGCATCCCCACATACATGTGGAGAAAGTGACTGCAGGTCTTGGCTACCAGAAGTGGACCTGACTCTAAAGTGGGAGCACTTGGAGTAGTTGTTGCCAGTTGCCAAGTGTGGTGCTGCATGAAAGATGCATCATAATGTCACCTCCCTCCCTGACTGCACCCCTGCAGGCAGGAGTAAGTCTGACTTTATGGAAGAAGAAAAAATGAGGCTCGGAGGAACCAAGAGCCTGGCCAACCACACCCAGATGAGGACAGGGCTAAGGGGCGGTGGTGTGGGTGATCCAGAGCCCTGCAGGCTACCAGGTAGCAATGGACTTGCACTGGTTACTGTATCTGTGTTCTCATCTGTAAAGTGAAGACAGGTAACAGCTGTAATGCTGGCCAGGCCTAGCAACCCCAGGTACCAGACTCAATTCCCTCCATTCTGGAACACCCCGAGTCTCCCCTGGTTACCAGTGGCTTCTTGTACTCATTGGGTTTGATGCAGCGGACGAAGTAGGGCTGGCAGTGGGCCAGGAGTCTCATCAGCTGATCCAGGGACTGCTTGAACTGGCCCCCTAGTGTGGAGGGGCGCTTGGTGGAGTCTGCCTGCTGTAGAGCCAAAGCACAGGATATGAGGGCAGGGAGCTATGCCTGGGGCACTGCAGGCCCCACAATGAGGGCTGCTGCCCAGCAAGTGCACCCTCGCCTGCCTTCCCCCTCTCCCTTCCGGCCTCCCTCTCTTCTCCTTTCCCTTTGTCCCTCTCTCTCCTCTCTTTTCCTTTCTTCCCTCCTCTCTTTCTTCCCTCCTCCCCCTCCCCCTTCCTCCTTCTGTCCTTCTCTCTTTCTTCCCTCCCACCCTCTATTCCTCCTCGCCTTTACTCCAGCACAGATGCCTGCCATGTTCAGGCTCCCAGCTCAGGAGAGCACGATGGGTGGCAGATAGGGAGCGTACCTTAAGGAACTGGCTCCTTGCCTTGGCCTGGTTAATGGTGCCATGGCCCAGCTTGGCCTGTGGTGACTCCAGGTTGAATATCTCCCTCAGGAACTTGTTTTTAGAGGAATGAACCAGGGCGAGGATGTCTGTGCTTAGCATGTCACGGTTCTTTTCCAGGAAGCCTGTGGAGAGAGTAGGGTAATTCTCCAGGTCAGCTTAGTCACTGCCTCCACCCATTTGGGAAGACAAGCATGCCTGGAGGGATCCCACAGCACCCCACTGAAGTGTGCTGTTTTCCACTCAGTCTGAACTGTCTCCACCCAGCACCAAGTTGCTTCTACCATCTGAACTTTCAAGCCTCAGCACCCGGCCCCACCTACCACTGTGTCTAAATGAATGCAATCATTCTGCCTCTGGGGTCTTGGGTGCTCTGCTAGGATTGGGACATTTTCAGACTGAAGAAAAGTCTTCAGAAATAGGGGAGGCCAGTGTTCTGGGCTGAATTATGTCCCCTCCCCAATTCATTTGTGGGTTCTTTACCCCCAGTATATTAGAACATGTATGGATCTCCTGTGTTTGGAGAGAGCTTTGTGTGTATGTATGCATGTTTGTATGTATGCAGGTGCCTGTGTATAGATATGTGTGTGTGTGTGGGCCAGAGGACAACCTCAGTTGTCATTCAGTTCTGTTCTACCTTTTTTATTTCTTATCTTATTTTTCAGATGGGGACTTTAATTGGCCTGGAACTCACTGAATAGGCTAGGCTGGCTGGCCAGTGACCACAAGAATCTGCCTGTTTCTGCTTCTGCCTCTCCAGTGCTGGAACTACAAGTGCATGTTACCATGTGAGTTCTAGGGATCAAATTCAGGTCCTCATGTTTACATAGAAAAAACTTTACTAACTTGACCCAGCCCAATAGAGGGCTTTTAAAGAGGTGATTAAGGTAAAATGAAGTTATGAGGGTGGACCCTGGCCCGATATGTCTAGTGTCATTGTAAGAAGACAACATTAAGGGCTGAAGAAATGGTTCAGTGGTTAAGAGCTCTTGCTGTTCTTCCAGAGGACCCATTTTGTTCCCAGTATCATGTTGGGTAGTTTAGAATGGCCTCTAACTCCAGTTACAGAGGCTCTGATGCCCTCTTCTGGCCTCTGTGAGCATCCCCTAAGCATACATATACATGCACATAAATAAAACAAAAAGTTTTAAAAACAAGATGTAAGGACACAGACATACTCTGAGAGGATCATGTGAATCACAGGGGAAGATAGCTACAAGCCACAATCCTCTGTGGCCACAGGCACAATAGGGCATCCCACATGAAAACAAGTCAGTTTACTTCTGTCCAGAACATATAAAACACTATTATGAACTGGTGAGTTGATTAAGCAGATTCAAGGCCAGCCTAGGGTACATGAGACTCTGCCTTATTTAAACAAACAACAGAAGAATATGTAGAAGAAAGGCAGGTAAAGTGTCTCATGGCTTTAATCCTAGCACTCAGAAGGCAAAGATAGGGGAGCACTTCAGGTTCAAGGCCAGCCTGAGCTACATAACCAGTTCAAAACAAAATAAAAACAACAAAAAAGAAAGCTACTTTCACAAGGCTGACCTGAAAGTAGACTCTAAGCTATGATACAAACAACAGAAGGAATTAAAATGAAACTACTGCACTTCATAGGATACCATTAAGAAGGCGAGAGAAGCCAGGTGTGGTGGTGCGTGTATGTAATACCAGGTTCTTGGGAGGTGGAGACAGGAGGAGAGTGAGCTCTGTGCCAGCCTGAGCTATACAGCAAGCCCCCTCTCCTAAAAAAAATCAGTGGTAGAACAGTTGCCTAACTATGTGCAAGGCCTTGGGTTCCATCTCCACCACCACCATCACCACTACCACCAAGAAAAAGGAAAAAAAGACCCCCCCTACCCAGAATATATAAGCACTATTGTGGGCTGGTGAGATGCAGGTACTTGGCACCAAATTAGGACCCGCATGTTAGAGAGAACCCATTCCTACAAGTTATCTCTAACCTCCACACATGAACCATGGCAAGAACAAAAGCATACACACACTATAAATGTAAATATACATAAATTAAAATAATAAAGTACTATTACAACTCAATAGCAAAAGACAATTAAAATATGGGGAATGGATTGAAGGTATATAAATGAAAAGACATTCAGCATCTGTACCCATCAGGAAATGCAAATTAAAGTTGAACTGAGTTGCTGTTTCAAACTCACTAGCGTAACTAAAATTAAAAAAAAAAAAACACATGTTTAGGAGGGTGTGGAAAATTGGAATGCTCCTGCCTGCTGGTAGGAATGTAAAATAGAGCAGCCACTTTGGAAAACAGTTTAGTGGGACCTCAAAACACCAAACATAGAATTATCACATGACCCAGCAATGTCACTGCTATGTACATGCTGAGAAGAAATGAAGACATACAGCCACACACACAAAAATGGTACATGGATGTTCACAGTTATGTTAAAGTGAAAATGCCTCAAATGTTCATTAATAAAAGATAAAATATAGGCTAGCCCCACAATATTTTTTTTGGTCATAAAATGAAATGGGAATGGGGAGACAGCAGTAAAGTGCTTGGTGCTCAAGCATGAGGACCTGAATTTGATTCCCAGCATCCACATTAAGAGCTGAGTGTAATGGTATGCATTTTTAATCCCAGCATTGTGAGACAGAAATAAGAGGATCCTTGGGACTGAGCTGAACTGGTGAGCCCCAGGTCCCAGTGAGATACCTTGTTTCAAATAACAAGGTGGATGACACCTGAGGAATGACACTTGGGGTTGTCCTCTGGCACACACAGGCAACACACACACACACACACACACACACACACACACACACACGCACACACACACACACACACACACACACAGAAACAAAATACTGATATAGGCTACAACATAGACAGACCTTGAAAACCTTATGGCCACTGAAAGAGACCAGCCTCTAAGAGCACACATAGTAGGTGCCAAGGTTAGTGACCTTAACAGAGTCTAGAATCACCTGGACATGGGTCGCTGGGTATGGCTATGGCTATGAGGAATTATTTTGATGATGTTAATTGAGGAGGGAAGACCTGCCCATTGTGGATGGTGCCATTCCCTGCCTGGGATCCAGGACTGTATAAGTGGAGAGAGGAAGCTGAGTAGCAACATTCATCTTTCTCTGCTTCTCGATTGTGGGCACAATATGACCAGCTGCCTCAAGCTCCTGCTACTGTGACTTTCCTACCACAATGGACTGTGCCCTGGAACTATGAGCCAAAGTAAATCCTGTCTCCTTCAAGTTGCTTTGCCAAGGTACTTTTATCACAGGAAACATAACTAACACCCCAAATCAAAACAATGATTGATACCTGGGCCATTACATTTCCTTTTTTCAGAAAGTCATGCTACCATTCTGCCACCCCTTACTGGACAGCATCATAACCTGTCCTCTTCACCTCCTTCCTATGGTCTTGCAGAGGCTGCTCCAGATGGGCTATGTGCAGAGCTGCACCTACCTTCTACCTGGTAATGTACCTCGCCCGCAAAATGTATAATGCCAAATCGGGTGTCATGTATGTTCTTGGGTTTCACGAAGGCCTTGTTGTTGGCGTGGACACTGTTCAGCTTTTGCAGCATAGTAACATCTGTCCCCTGGAAGAATCCAGATGCTTTATGAACTGAGGCACCAGAATCCAGCCAGGGGGAGGTATGGAGACCCACCCACAGGGGGCAAAGCAAGCTGGGCTTAGGCTGATTGATGGCTCGTTACAAATGGGTAGTCTAGCCCACATGGATTAGTGACTTGTAGTAAATGAAGACCTAGTTGGACCAAGGGTAGAGACTAGGGGCCACCCCACTGCCCACTCTCCCTCTCCACCAACCTAGCAGTCGGAATCCTTCCTGAAGGAGTGTGCTGGGCAGGGCTTGGAGGCAAGGAGGGTCTGACTAAGCTGGGGCTTGTTACTGGAGGAGGTTTTAGCAACCCTGAGCAGAAGCAGGCCACCTACATGGAGTTGTCCGACCTCAGAGAGGAAGCCAAAGATGCAGACATACACACCTGTGGGAAGCGACTCTCCTCATCTAGGAGGGAGATGATGCTCATGGGCTTGAGCCCCAGCAGGTCTAGAGTGGGGCGGTTGTCAGTATAGTGGATGTAGTTCCAGGAGATGTTCTCAGAGTGGTACTCTTCCTGCTCCATGGTGAACACATGCTGCACGAAGAACTGCTGCAGGTGCTCGTTGGCAAAGTTGATGCAGAGTTGCTCGAAGCTGTGGAGTTGACACCACCAGGGTCTCAGCATGGGGTTACGTCAACTGTAGCTTAGGGGGGCTCTGGGGTCATGAGCCATCTCTACCACAGACACACACTCACATGCACACCGAGCCTATGTGCATACAGTTACACATACTTCCAGGAATACACTTCTCCTTTCTGTGACTCTGTCACCTTACCTCATCTACCCCAAGAGAAACAAGAAGGCTCAGCGTAGCCTCAGATCCTGAAATTTTCCAGGCCTGCCTGTTCTGACATTGAGGCTCTCCCTGTGGCACCAGCTGCTTTAAGAAGCCCCAGCCCCATGGGCAAGCCACCTTGGCATTGAGATGAACACCCTGAGACCTAGCATTGTCTGCTGGGCCCCTCTGCATCAATCAGACATACATTTACCCTGCTGATCTTTGAACTTGCCCTCCTCCCTGAGCTCCCTGCCTTGGGAAATGGCCCCTCCATTCTCCACTGCTGGCTCATCGTGCTGGACACTGCCCCTTCTCTGCAGTTTCTATCATGAGTTATCAGAGTCTGGCCCATGCTATCTTGAACATAGCACCTTGAACTCTTTATTTCTTTTCACCCCCTATGTAGTTGAGGTCACCTTCTGTGTTCACCTGCAACTCAGTAATGGTCTCTAAGCAGATGTATCCGACTGGTAACCACAGGTGGTATTTGACTGAAGTAGCTACGAATGAAGCCCGACACCAGTCATAAACTTACTCAAAACATTATGAGAAGGTATTATTTTTGCAATTTTCCCCTATAACTTGATTCCGTGGTTCTTGAGCATAACCTTTGTAGATGGTAATGTCATGATACAATGTTAAAAGTTTGGACGTGCTGGGGTGATGGTGCATGCCTTTAATCCCAGCACTTGGGAGGCAGAGACAGACAGATCTCTGTGAGATCAAGGCCAGCCTGGTATACATAGTGAGTTCCAGGCCAGCTGGGGCTACATAGTGAGACTTTGTCTCAACTTACTCTTCCCAGCCAAAAAAAGTTTACACACACACACACACACACACACACACACACACACACACACGCACCACATCACACAAATGGGTGGTGAGATGACTCAGTGGGTAAAGGCATTGCACTTGCCATGCAAATTTGGCGATTTGCATTCAATCCTTGAAAGTAGCATAAAGGTAGAAAGAAAGAATTAACTCCACAAAGTTGTCCTCTGACCTCCACAAACATGACATGGTATATGCACCCCTCACATCATGAATGCACATGGAATAATGATGATGATGATGATGATGGTGATGACTGGGCACATCTGTAAGAGGCTCTCCCTGACTCCAACCTCCGCCCTCACCAAGTCTCCATATGGTCACCAGAGGGAGCCTTCGAACCAGACTATCACCCTCCCCACTTGCTTCTGCTGGCTTCCCAATGTGTTCAGGATCCAGACAGTAGACATAGGAGGAAGCCCTGGCCATGTCTCCAGTTTCACTGAGGGCATTCATTCTGTGACCACTGTTGACTTCTCTCAGCATCTTTGCTGTTCCCGATTCTTTCCTACCACCTAGTCTCTGTCTGATTGGTGCCCCCTCCTCTCTGTTAGTTACTCAGCTCATTCTGCCATGTCTGCATCTCTTCGGCATCTCTTCCTCAGGGTGTGTTGCCCATTTAGGAAAGAACTCCTTGTACCTGAGATTGCTCCTTCAAAGTTTATTAACCCAAGAATTAAGAGAACAACCTTCAGTTTTCTCCAAGCCCAGCATGCTGCCCAGAGGGACTCCATAGACACTTGTAGACCCAACACTTTGCAGTGCCTCTTTCTCAGATTTCCAGGCTTCAGTCCCTTCAAACCTAGTCATTGGTCCCTTTAGGAGGAAGTCCTGGCATATATGACAGAGCCCTAGAACTTATTCATCAATAAGGTGTTCATAGATATGGTTGGCCTGCTTACCTGTCCCTCCCAATATTGGTTTACAGCTGAACTTACTGTGCCCTGTGCTCCTGTGGCATTAGGCCAACCCTACTGTCACTCTCCCCAAACTTCCCACAGTTGGCCTTGGGAGGTTGAGACCCTGGTGTCTTTGTACTTGGATTTAACTATGTCTTGACAGTCCTGGCTCCCAAGGGGGTGTTCTAGGTTTCCTTCCCTGAGTCAGTTTTTACAGAGCTATGGACAGAGGTACCCCAAAGTCAGGCTACCCTCTTGGTTCCTCAGATGGTATCCAGAATTCTCTGCTTCTTGGTACTGGGGGATGGAGTGGGCTCTTCCCTGTCAAGCCATTTAAATGGACCAGACTCAGGCAAACTGCATCCAGAATGTTTCCTGCCTGGTGGTTCTACCAGGAATGAAGATACTTGTGCTATCAGACTATCCAAACAATGGATCCTCAAGGAATTGGAATTTCCTCAGGAATCTCATCTTAGGAGAAGGAAAAAAACTGAAGCCTTGTACCACCCAGAGGAGGAGCTTGTCTCTTGGAAAGAGATTTCACCCAACTTGTCAGACAACCTTTCAGGAGAGACTAGAGCCCAGGCAATAATGGATCGATGGTAGGCAGGACCATACCTGGACCAGGACTGCCTAGCTATGCATATCTCTTTCTTTCTATTTAAACCTAAACCTTATGTCAGAACCCCAAAGATGAACTTGGGGAGGTCACTGAAACTTTTTCTTCTTCCCAATGTAGCTACATTGAATAATTTTTCATTTTTTGCTTTCTTCTGTTAAGTGTATCTTTAATTGGACTGGTGAAGACAGGTGGCTGAGCTTGGATTGTTAGGGGACTGTAAGGGTTAAGGTTCTGACCCTAAAAGCTCTGGTAAAAATTCTACCACTTTTACTTCCCCACTGACCACCTGCTGCCCTTGACTCTGCCCTGGACATCACCTGTCCATGTTTGTCTCCCTGGCCTGTTCCTTCCCCCGAGGCTTCATCACAGTCATGTCTGATAGCAAAGCACTGACCTGCTTCCTGGCCTCTGTGTCTTAGCATCCAATTGTGCTGGGACACTGGATCAGAGATGTTCTGCCTCAACTTACTCCTTTCTAAACTCAAAAGTCAGTGATGGCCCACAACCCCCCCCCCCCCCAATAGGTCCAATTGGCTGTTTTTTTTTTTCACTCTTCTCTTTTTATTCCTCTCT